CTATCTATCTATCTATCTATCTATCTATCTATCTATCTATCTATCATATATCTATCTATCATCTCTTTTTAGCGGCAGAGGCACCAGTAGTGTCACCCGAGTTCGGCTGAAGTGATTTCTTTCTTTATTTTTATTCCCAGGGTGCAGATGCCTCCTTGAGAAGAGTAGAGAAAATATATCGTATAACCAGAATCATGATTATGATGTGGAGACAGCCTCTGTATTAATTCCTGCAAAGGAGTTTGTTAACAATAAAGGTAAAGGTTCCCCACACACATATGTGCTAGTTGTTCCCGACTCTAGGGGGCGGTGCTCATCTCTGTTTCAAAGCCGAAGAGCCAGCGCTGTCCGAAGACGTCTCCGTGGTTATGTGGCCGGCATGACTAAACACCAAAGGCGCACGGAACCCTGTTCCCTTCCCACCAAAGGTGGTTCCTATTTTTCTACCTATTTTATGTGCTTTCGAACTGCTAGGTTGGCAGAAGCTGGGACAAGTAACAGGGGCTCACTCCGTTACGGGGCGCTAGGGATTCAAACCACCAAACTGCCGAACTTTCTAATCAACAAGCTCAGCGTCTTAGCCACTGAGCCACCGCGTCCCTTGTTAGCAATAGATGCCACTTATAAATCCCTAATGGAATACTACAAGTCATTTGCTCCCTGGAGCACCTGTTCAAAAGCAGAGAAGGAGTAGGGGGTGACATGATAGCAGTGTTCTAATATTTGAGGGGTTGCCACAAAGAGGAGGGAGTCCACCTCCTGAGGCACCTGAAGACAGGACAAGAAGTGATGGGTGGAAACTAATCAAGGAGAGAAGCAACTTAGAACTAAGGAGGAATTTCCTGACAGTGAGAACAATTAACCAGCTTCCCTCCAGAGGTTGTAGGTACTCCATCACTGGAGGTTTTTAACCAAAGACTGCACACCCGTTTGTCTGAATTGGCACAGGATCTCCTGCTCGAGCAGAGGGTTGGACTAGAAGACCTCCAAGGTCCCTTCTAAGTCTGTTGTTCCGTACACAAGCAAATGAGTTTGTTAAGTTTAAGTTAACAAAGGAGTTGGTTAGCAACTTAACAAAGGGGTCTGTTGGTAAGCATTAAGAAATTTAAAGCTCACAAGTTGGGGGGCTACCTGTATTCTTGGCCCCTCCGTCTTGGGCTCAAAATTAAACACTTCAGCAAATACGCTTCCTGATTGCTTATCAAGCAAGGAGAAGGAAAAATCCATCGTCAGCAGAAACAGACAAAAAAGAGAGGAGAAGAATAGTCGTCGGAAATGAAAAAAACGTGCGCGACGGGTAACAAAGATGGTTTAGTTAGATGGCGGAGAAAATTGACTCCTCCTTGGGACAGGTTGATGGAGTGAGGGTGTTAGCTGGGCCAGAGGACCGATTTTGATAGATCACCGCCAAAGAGTGGAGACAAGAGACATGCTCAGCCAAGCATCACAAGGCTCCTTTCGATGGCCGAGAAGATTGAAAAGAAATTCACACCGGTCAGCAGAAAAGAAAAGAAAAAAATAGAAGGACTGAAAGGAATAAAAGAAAGAAAGAGAGAGAGGGAGATACCCTTACAAAGCTACACATACAGCTGGCCTTTCATTATCTTGTGGACTTTGTGGAGATGGGTAAAGGGGATGCAATAATAAAAAAAATAAAAGCCGAGAGATTGGGTTAATGGTTTCCTAAGTTGGTGCTGAAGTAGGTATTTGGAAAGACCACCCTGATGATAGGGAAAGAAGAGACAGTCCTTTTGTTTCCTGATGCTCATTGTTTCGTATTTTAGCGCAGCGATGCTCCCCAGGTTGAACATCGGAGCTTCAAGCGGAGCAAACTGTTGCGGCCCGCCAGTGGCCAGAGGAGCTGGCAGCAGATTCGGACAGTGTGGAGGTTAAGGAGGAACATGGGCCAGTCCTGGAGTCTGAGGAAGGCTCTGATGAGGGCTCTGTGTCGGAGGCAGAGAGGGGGCCGAGGCAGTGCCACGTTTTGCAAATATCAGCCTGGCAGCTCTCCGATCCAGATAAGGTCTGTGGCTGTCAATCTGACTTAAGCAGGGGGGTTAGACTAGGAGACCTTCAAGGTCCCTCCCAACTCTGTTATTCTATTCTAATAATCGTGGCACGACAAAACCGCGGTCCACTAAAGCGCGCCCGATTAAAGCACGTACCTGACGTCATCAGCAGCGCGACAAATACGACCGC